ATCTCAAAATACATTTTTTTTAAATATTTCTCATTCAACATGGTATGAAATAAGTATTTGTAAATTTATTAGTAAGATCATACATTTTACTCATTATTTCGTCACATTGAGAATGTAAGAAAATGGATCATTTTTACAATTTACCAATTTATTTCGTCACATTGAAAACGTCATTAATAAGATATACTCACTTCGTCCCCCTTATATTGTCTCATTTTACCTTTTTGAGAAATCCCACTAAAATTGCTTCATACCATATTTGGTAAAATTTGCGTGGCTCTAAATCATTCTTATTTATTCTTACTTTATCTATTAATATCAACCGCACAAACCCACTTTTCTCAAAAATCGTGTCACCCTCTTCTGTCTCAATATAAGAGGAACGGAGGTAGTATTAAATTAGATTGACATTTTCAGTTCTAATTTGGTCTGAAGTAATATAGTGTGGAAGATGTCTATTATATGTATAATAATATTAATAATAATAATAATAATAATAATAATAATTTTTGTTATTATGATTGATGTTTGATCTGATCTTGTCTGAGACTGAAATCAGTTGAATTAAAAACATTCTAAATATATGAAGATTTCTTAATTTGTATTAGGAATCTATTACAGAAGTGGGGGAATATGTAAATTATAGTTGTAAAAATAAAGAAACAACTAAACATATATGAATTTCCATTCTTATAAAGGTAAGGTGCTTGATCAGAAGTTTTACTTGTCTTCATATATGAACGTGTAATAGTATATATCAATTTCATTTTTAAGTTAAAAAATCTTTTGGTTATAATTTCCAATAACTAAGAAAGTATTAACACAATTGCAAATCTATCTAAGCGAAGGCTTATAATTTTAGTCATTATCGCATTGAGTTTAGAAAACATACTGAAAAAGAAATTGAGTTTAGAAAAATAAAATTTCACATTTAGGAAATGGAACACTATTATTACCTTTTTATTTTTATAAAATAACTTTGAAGAACAAAATTAATAGAAATTTGGATTATTTATCTATTAGGTGGGGAAAACACGGATAATTCATTTCTCAATAGAATGTAATAAAAAATAAAAGGTATAAAAAATAATTAAATAATTTATATAAAATATAGTTTATGTAGTATCAAATAATTATTACAAAAATGTTACGTAGTTTTTTGCAATAATTATTACGTAACTTTTATTATATAATTTGATACAAAATATTTTGTCCAAATATAATGTATTTGATAAATACTTTGATACTTACTTCAAAATATATTTTGATACTTACTAATAGGTTATGTATTATTTGCAATATTTTGATAAAAGGTCATGTATTATTTGCAATACTTTGATACTTACTACAAAATAATACATATATAACCTTTTATATATATTTTGATACTACAAAAATAATTAAATAACTTATATAATTATTTGTCTATAAAAGTTACGTAGTATCATAATATTGCAAATAATATGGAGTAAGTAAAGGTTCTCAAAAAGTTACCTAGTATCAAATAAGGTGGATTATAAAAGATTGTACAATATGTTGTTTCCATATCAATATGCAATAAAAAATAGAATGTAAAAAAATAAAAAAGTAATTAAGTAATTATTATATATGATGACATGGCAGGATTATGTGGCACACCGTATGCTCTTAAAAAGTTCCTCTTTTATATATATATATATATATATATATATTGATTGGACCAACATATTTTTATTTCATAATTTAAATTATAATTTTTATTTTATTTTATTTAAATTATAAAGTTGATAAAAAAATACCGATTAATGAGTGAAATGCGTGAAGCATGCGTAAAATATTGATTATAGTAGTATTTTAGTTTGTATTTATGAAATAATGGGGGAAATGTCAAAATACATATTAAACAAGGGGTTAATGTATAAATATATGATAATTAGATAATTAAATATAATAAAGGTAAACAGTTAGTAAGAAATATTCCTTTGTAGTGATAAAAATAGTGTAAACTGTTGGAAATAAAGTACTGTATGATGTGATGTAGACCTGTACAAAACCGGGCCGGCCCGCCCGGCCCGCCTAACCGGCCCGCCCAAATGGGCGGGCTTGGGCATATATATTTACCCACCGGGCCGGCCCGAGCCCGGCCCGCAATAACATATGGGCGGGCTTGGGTTAGGGTGTAAGCCCGTTCGGGCCGATAAGCCCGGCCCGCTACATTTAGTGTGTGTGTGTGTGTATATATACACACACACACACACTAATTTATTTATTTATTTACATGTACACATGTATATTTATATTTACTAATATAATTTACCTTTATACATATTTATAGTTTATTATATGTAAATTTAAGTTTTTAGTTCTTAACAACTAGCCCAACTAATATGCTATCTGTTTTTGTACTTAAAGATAATACTTTTTGCTTGGAATTTAAATTTTAGATATAGTTTCTCATTATTATTTTTATGTAAGTATTATTTTTGTATGTGGCGAAAGGCCTATAAATATTATAAGCGTATTAACAATTTTTTAAATGTTGTCATATTATTTTTAAAGTATTAAAAAATTATATAATTTAGAAAAATTTAAACTTTTCCGGGCCGGGAGGCCCGGTGGACTACCCGGCCCGCTCTTACGGGCGGGTATGGACATGGAGTTAGGCCCGTTTTTGCGGGCCGGGCCGGGCCCGCCCACATATGATGGGCAAAAAATTTATAAAAAGCCCGGCCCGAGCCCGGCCCGAACCCGTTTTTGTGCAGGTCTGATCGGTCCAAACACAGGTTTAGCATACGAGTGCCGGGAATTTATCAGCTGATGCAACGAACTGTGTTCAGCCTAGACCTGTACAAAACCGGGCCGGCCCGCCCGGCCCGCCCAACCGGCCCGCCCAAATGGGCGGGCTTGGGCATATATATTTACCCACCGGGCCGGCCCGAGCCCGGCCCGCAATAACATATGGGCGGGCTTGGGTTAGGGTGTAAGCCCGTTCGGGCCGATAAGTGTGTGTGTGTGTGTGTGTGTGTGTGCACACACACACACACACTAATTTATTTATTTATTTACATGTACACATGTATATTTATATTTACTAATATAATTTACCTTTATACATATTTATAGTTTATTATATGTAAATTTAAGTTTTTAGTTCTTAACAACTAGCCCAACTAATATGGTATCTGTTTTTGTACTTAAAGATAATACTTTTTGCTTGGAATTTAAATTTTAGATATAGTTTCTCATTATTATTTTTATGTAAGTATTATTTTTGTATGTGGCGAAAGGCCTATAAATATTATAAGCGTATTTTTTAAATGTTGTCATATTATTTTTAAAGTATTAAAAAATTATATAATTTAGAAAAATTTAAACTTTTCCGGGCCGGGAGGCCCGGTGGACTACCCGGCCCGCTCTTACGGGCGGGTATGGACATGGAGTTAGGCCCGTTTTTGCGGGCCGGGCCGGGCCCGCCCACATATGATGGGCAAAAAATTTATAAAAAGCCCGGCCCGAGCCCGGCCCGAACCCGTTTTTGTGCAGGTCTGATGTGATGCTTACACTATTTTAGTGATAAAAATGATGTAACTTGTTAGAAATGGTCTAAGAATACTATTGCACCATCAGTCCGTTTGGTAGCACGAAAATCGGCTGTTTTGGCTGATTCTGCTGAAATTTATGAAGTTCTGGCTGAAGTGGCTGCTTTGGCTGTTTCTGCTGATTTAAGTAAAAATTATTTTTAAAATATATTTTATTAATAAAATAAAGAAAAAATTATATGTAAAAATAGCTAAAATGGTCATCTACAGTAACTTCAGCCAATACAGCCAGGAAAGTAACTCTAACCTTACTTTTTCTGCTTATTACACAATTCAGCGCGCGAAAGTAAAAGTTACGTGTTTGGTGAAAAAGTTAGCTGATAAGCCTGATAAGCCAAAAAAGATGTTACCAAACGGCCTCCATATGTTAAAGAACATTATTGAATAATGTTTGGGAGGCTTGGATAAATTACGCAAGGGTCCAAAAGCTATCAACAATTCTAGAGGAGGGTTTGGGTTTGCTTAAAAAAAACACTTTTCACCTTTTGGTTTAAAAAAAGTTGAAAAGAGTGTTTTTAAATAACAACTTCTGCTTAAATTAATCACTTAAAAGCTAAAAGCTGGAAGCATGTAGAAGGATGCTTTAAACTGCTTCTCACTTTTTCTATTACACAAAAAGTACTTATTTTACCAAACACTACCAACTTTTACTTTTCCAGAATCACTTTTTTCTCAAACACTACCAACTTTTACTATTAATCATTTTTCCCAAAATCACTTTAAAAAATCACTTTTTTAAAGTTGAAGCAATTGCAAACACTCCCTAGGTCTGAATAGGGGTAATCAATTTGATAACTCACTATTTTTGGAAAAAACTAAAAGAGACTTCTTTTTTAATTGAAAATAATAGTACTAATAAACTGTACATAGTAGATGATATTTTAGGGGCTAAAGGGTCAAATAGGTACATGAACTAACCTAAAGTGTTCAATTAGCCCCTTATATAGGAGTTTCTGCCCGGACGTCGCCAATTGGGGCGGTTCCCGGTGGAATTTTTTGATGAATTTTTTTGAGCATCTTCTTCATTAAGTCTAGTGTACCCAGACCAAATTTCAGCTAAAAATTCAACCGGAAAGGCAGTCGAATGATTTTCTGAAAATTTAAACAGCGCAGTACATTTCGGAAAATAATTCGACTGCCTTCCTGGTTGAATTTTTAGCTGAAATTTGGTATGGGTAAACTAGAATTAATGAAGAAGATGCTCAAAAAATTTCATCAATAAATTCCACCGGGAACCGCCCCAATTGGCGACGTCCAGGCAGAAACTCTTTTATAAGGGGTTAATTGAACACTTTAAGTTAGTTCATGTACCTATTTGACCCTTTAGCCTATTTTAGGAGTATCATTTGATGACGTGGACAGAGTTGGATCAGACATATTTTCACGAATCTATTATGTTCGTCCCCTCAATAATGAATTCTCTCTATATATCCGATCAACATATAACTTATGCACTTTAGTTTATTGTTTTGCTTCTGAAAATTTCTGATCACTATAAAAATGGCAGCGAATCCAATCGAAGCAGAGCTCCCGGTGAAGGCTTTTGGATGGGCAGCGAGGGACACCTCTGGTCTTCTTTCTCCTTTTAACTTTTGCAGAAGGTATATTTATTACTTATATGCCAAAGAATATAATCTGCAATATGTGGTACCTTATCATAAGTTCTGTATTGTTGGATGTAAATTGATAGTTTTAATTGTATAAGTATTTAATTAGATCTTGGGGATTTGAACCCGAGTAGGAAGACAGGGGAGAAGGATGTGCAGTTGAAGGTGGCATATTGTGGAATTTGTCATTCAGATCTTCATCAGATAAAAAATGATTGGGGTTTCACAACATATCCCATTGTTCCAGGGTAAGTTTAATTTTGAAACAATCAATATATGATGAAAACTTTAACGAAATACGATAGTAATATGTTTCCTTTTTGAAAACTCTACCGAAAATCTTTGGAAACTTTCCAGACAATTCTTTTTTAAGGAAAAGTTTCCCGTTTCCCGTTTCCCTACGACATAGCAATCAATATATGGGTGATGTTTTCCTCTAGACTTCTAATTCACATATGGATGAGCTGTGCAGGCATGAGATAGTTGGTGTGGTGACAGAGGTGGGGAGCAAAGTGGATAAATTTAAGGTTGGTGACAAAGTTGGGGTTGCTGGTCTGGTCGGATCCTGCCGCAAGTGCGAAAGCTGTGCAAGTGATGTCGAGAATTACTGCCCGGAAGCTCTTCAAACTTACAATGATTTTCGGACCACCACGTACGGTGGATACTCGGACATCATGGTTGCTGATGAGCATTTTGTGCTCCGGTGGCCGGAAAATTTGCCGATGGAGGCGGCTCCACTGCTCTGTGCCGGGATCACAACATATAGCCCCTTGAAGTACTTCGGACTTGACAACCCGGGGATGCACATTGGTGTTGTTGGCCTAGGCGGTCTCGGCCATATGGCTGTTAAGTACGCTAAGGCTTTTGGATGCAAGGTGACTGTGATCAGCACATCTACCAGCAAAAAGCAAGAGGCTATTGATCGCTTTGGCGCGGATTCATTCTTGATCAGTAGCAACCTAGAAGACATGCAGGTTTGCAAAATATCCCTGTCATTTTCTTTTTCTTAAGTGTATTATGACTAGTTTAGTTATTTAATTTGTTCAATGTATACACCTCTATGTTCTATGTTTATGGTTCAGATAATTAATACTACCTCCGTCCCACTGTGTTTGGGATAAAGGGGTGTGGCACAACATTTAAGAAAAAGTGGAATTGTGTGGTTGATATTTAATTGATAAAGTGTGAGTAAAGTAAGAATGAATTGTAACCATTCAAATATTACCAAATATGGTATGAGACAACTTAATGGGACGGACGAAAAAGGTAAAACGGGACAAAGCTAGGGGTGGAGGGAGTATTATATTGTTCATTCTATAACAAAACTTCTTTGTCTATATACTACATACTACCTCTGTCCCTTTTTATTTAGCCAACTTTGACTTTTCCAGTCAAAGATGATAAACTTTGAGCCATTACTTCAACTAATATATTTGTGTAAAAGTTATTAAACTTATACTTTTATGATAGTAGTTTTAACAAAGAACATTTACATATAATTTTCATATTACCAATATTACCGTGTATAAATATATAATTGGTCAAAGCTGAACAACTTTGACTTGAGAAATGGTGATTGGCTAAATAAAAAGGGAGGGAGGGAGTATTATTTATTGTTAATCTTTCTATTTGTGTAGGCTGCAGTAAACACAATGGATGGGATATTAGACACAGTCTCTGCGGCTCACCCTCTTTTGCCTCTACTTCATTTATTGAAAGTCAATGGAAAGCTAGTAGTGGTTGGAGCACCAGAGAAACCATTTGAACTACCGGTCTTTCCCTTGATCATGGGTATGAACATTCTTCTATAAAAGTGACAAAATAACTAACAAAATGAAGACACACACAGTGACGTATCCATAACCGTATGTGGTTTTTGGTCACAGTGAATAACTCCAATGTACACTGATAAAAATGATTTGTCGAACATAAAAAGTGAAATTTTTAGATTTATTTGGGAAACACTTTCTTTACTCGAACAGTGAGGTCTGTATTTGCGTAAAAGTTATCTGAATATGTAAATATGTAATATATGTAATGGGTGTCATATGGGTGTAAGAGGGTTATATATCGTCCTTTAATAAATTTATCACATGCAGGTAGGAAAATTGTTGCAGGAAGTCTAGTAGGTGGAATGAAAGAGACACAAGAAATGTTAGACTTTTCTGCTCATAACAACATAACACCAGATGTAGAGGTTGTTCCCATGGAGTATGTCAATACTGCACTAGAACGTCTTTCCAATGCTCAAGTAAAATATAGATTTGTTTTAGACATTGCCAACACACTCAAATCTTCTTGAATGTCTGTTAGTATGATGTCCCCGAACCACTCTCTATTTAGACATGTATGTACCCCTGAATATATATATATATATATATATATATATATATATATATATATATATATGTATATTTAGGATCAAATGAGAACAATGTTTAACGTGAGAACGTGATAACACCACATTTACCCCAATGTGATGCACAATGAGGCTTGCCCAATGCACATTTTCATGTTCGTCATGATATTTACCAAAATGCCACCGTGATTATTTATATTGGCTTGTTTTGAGAAAAGGCAAAATGTGCACCAGGTGGCCTCTATTGTGTATTACATTGGTTAATTGTGAGTATTCTCACGTTCTCACGTTAAGCATCGTTCTCATTAGAACGGTACCCTATATATATATAAAGTTTTTTTATATTTGATTAATTGTTTTGGTTGTGTGTGTTCTTTAATACTTGTGTTCTGTTGACTTATACTATCCGCCGTTCTTTTGTAATCGCAACATGTTGAGTTTTACACTATTCACATGCTCTACTTTGACTACACTTTATTTATTAATATATGACGACGATTATTTTAAAACATATTGTACAATTAATCTCATTACAAATTTTCAAAATATTAATTTTAAATTAAATTTACTAATAGAAAATAAGATATATAGACAGCCAAAGATGTGCATAGACAAACGTGCAAAGTTAACTGTTGCAATAAAAAAACGAATGAAGTAACTAACTCACTAAGTATGTGATAACTTATGTGACATAACATATGATTCTAAAATAGCCTCAATCAACAATCGTCAAGAATAGGATATCGATGATATGCAAAAGGATTGATATGTGAAGACTATCATTGTTTTAAAGAAGACTATCATAATTTTAGAAATTGATTGTTTAAACCTACACATTTTCAAATATTGTTGAATTCTTCATCACAAATCACTTAATCCTAAGAAAATTGGAAATTAAACGGTGATGATGTTAAACTGAATTACAAACCAATATAATTGAACTAGTTTAAAACTTTCAGAGAAGACATAAGATGGCAAATTGGCAATGAACGCTCCGACAAAGAAAAACAAGAGGCGGTAGTGTTATTTTCAATAACTGAAAAATACATCAAAAAATAATTGAGAATAAAACAAATACTACCTCCGTCCCAAGGAGAAGTTCCCAATTTCCTTTTTTGGCAGTCCCAACAAAAAGTTCCCATTTTCTTAAATGGAAAGTTATCCTACATAAAAACAGTGCCAAACAGTGCAAAACAGTGTCAAACAGTGTCGAAACAGTGCCAAACAGTAAAATTTACCCCTCAGTAACTTTATTTCCTTAATATGTGTGAAAGTCAACCCGGGAACTTCTCCCTGGGACGGAGGGAGTAAATCAATATTGTTCAACATGCTCAACAGTGTGTTGATGAAACTGTTGACCATCTTTTTCTTGATTTGTTTTGGTATGCTAAACTGCATCCGTCATTGTATTGCTCATTACTCTTATTATGTTCCTCATCTGAGTTCACACTGTTCTCCCTTCTCTCACTTTCGTTTACACCTTTCTCCTTTTCTGTAAATTGTTTTCTTTTCTTTTCTTCTGCCAAGAGTTAAGGGAAGTGAAGTGGTTGGTCTTCTTAGGCTTAATAGTGCAAATGGTAAAGGGAGTCTGGGGGTATTGCTATGGAAAGGCTTAGCATTTGATATGGATATCAGCAGGGGCGGACCGTAGTACAGACCCAGGGGGCGGTCGCCCCCCCCCCCCCCCCCCCCAACAACAATTTTTTTTAGTTTTTATATATAATAAAAATTAATTTTCGCCCTCTCAAAAAATATTTTGTTTAAGTTACCGCCCTCCCAAGACAAACTTTCTGGGTCCGCCCCTGGATATCAGCTTTTATAGCATGTATTGCCTGAGGAAGGTGGACCATTTTATTATCATGAATAAGCTTTTAACGTATCTTCCAAAGATTCCATATAATAACATTAGGAATAACATAATTAAGGTCCAGAATGTTGCCCTTGAAATCCTTTTACCGACACAAACTGTAGTTTTTTATACAACTGGTATTCTCAGGTTTAAAGCATACAATGCTTTCAAAATGAGTCCAAACTGCTTTAGTGAGTGTAGAAGAAAGGGAAAAATGTTCAATGGTGTCATTAGTAGGGCACATCGGGCATTCAAAGGACTAGAAAAACCAAAATTAGTGAGTTCGGCTTCAAAGGGCAGAAGACGGTTTTCCATTTTCCAGATAAAAAATGAGAGTTTTTTTGGAGTCCTATTATTCCAAACAAAATTGAAAGAATTTGAAATAGTCATTTTAGGCCAAATCACATCATAGGCACTAGAAAAGCTAAAATTGCTATTAGGGTTCGATTTCCAAATGTATGCATCTTCACTCTCGGTGAAATGAATCTTGGTTGCATGGACAATGTCTCAAAGGTATCTAGGCAGGGCCTTGTATAACGGAGGAATCAACTGGTTATCAAGAAAAGCCTCAGCTCCCTTATCGTAATCTGGCTAAGGTGGAGCGGGATATCATCAAATTGAATATACAACGGGCCAAGGGTACACCAATTTGAAAACCAGAAAGAGCTAGAGCCCCTATTAACCTTAACACAGTTATCATAAGAAATGTTGGCAATAGAATCAAGAGACTTACCCATGATCGAGTGAGCATCATCCCTAAGAGCATTGTACCAATTCGGCCAAATCCCAGAATTTTTTTTATCTTCCACATCAGTTTGAGAAAAAAGTTTTCTGAATAGCACTCAAATTTCTAAAACCTAGCCCATTTTTAGAAGTAGGGTAGCAACACTTATTCCAACTACGCCAAATATGGTTATGGTTTTCAGCCGTTTTATCCCACAGAAAATTAGAGAGTATCCTCTCAATACTATGAATAACATTTTTGGGGAGAGGGGAAGTAGCCATAAAGCACAGGGGTATAGTACTAAGAACATGCCGAATTATCAATCTTAGTAAGAATATGATCAAAATAACGATTAAGAGATCTACTTGTAAAAATGCAAGCCCCAAGGTAGGTAAAAGGAAAAGAACCTTTTTTTATTTTAAAAATGCTGTCAATAACTGTATTAGAGTGGCGCTTAGCATGCTTAGATATGAGGTAAAAACTTTTATCTTTGCTGATGAGCTGGCAAGAAAATTTTTCATAATCAGAAATGGTATTATTGAGCAGATCAAGTGTAGGCTTTTCAGCATTGGAAAAAACAATCAAGTCATCGGGAAACGCCAGATGATTAATTCTCGGCATGCCAGAAAGAGTAATGTAAGGCTTCCCTTTACCAGAAAAGTATAAGGTGTTTAGATGCTTGGTAAGGATCTCAGCCACAATAATAAAAAGAAAAGGGGAAAGTGGATCCCCTTGCTTAACCCCTCTACTGGGTTTAAAAAAGCCTTTAGGGGAACCGTTGATCAGAACAGAAAACTAGGTGGCATCCAGGTTATTTAAAATAAGTTTAACAAAAGCATGGTGGAAACCAAATTTGATTAACACCGTAACACGTGATTGATAAAATTCCAAGAAATTTTGTCAAAGGCTTTCATCATATCAAACTTGAAAATGACGTTGTTCCCCCTAACCTTCCTATTAATATGATTAACCATCTCACGCAAAAGTAAAATATTGTCTGAGAGGGAACTCTTCCGGTAAGGTATACCTTACCGGAGCCGCCGTGCGGCCTCCACGTTGTGAGGGCCTTCCCGGTGGAATTTTTTGATGAAATGTTTTGAGCATGTTCTGCATCAAGTCTAGTACTTCCATACCAAATTTCAGCAAACAATTCAATCGGGAAGGCAGTCAAATGATTTTTGGAAGATAACTGCACCCTTTATATACATATAAAATGCAGTTATCTTCCAAAAATAGTTTGACTGCCTTCCCGATTGAATTTGTTGCTAAAATTTGGTATGGATGTACTAGAGTTGATGAAGAACAAGCTAAAAAAAATCATCGAAAAATTCCATCGGGAAGGCCCTCAAAACGTGGAGGCCGCACGGAGACTCTGGTAAGGTATACCTTACCGGAAGAGTTCCCTGTCTGAGATCTCCTTGCCATTTTGAAAAGCTGTTTGTTCCATGGAAATTAATTTAGGAAGCAAAGGAGTGAGTTTCATGACCATGATTTTGGTAAAGATTTATGAGTACAACAAAGTAAGTGGTTATTATTAAACAAGTTTTCACAAAACATTTTATAGAATAAGTAAATTTTGACAACTACAACAAACATTTCAGTACTTGATAAACACATAGTGCTATATTTCAGGTGTATATATATATATGAGTATTATACAAGTTCTCAACTGTCAAGTAACACCATTACAGAATAAGAATATTTTACAACCATTACAATATTTAATAAACGCACATAATTTTATTTGCAGTATATATATGAGTATTATAGAGCGCATGACGAGTACTGTACTAGTTTTCATGGAACAACATTACATAATGATGGAGTTAAATTCCAACTACGAGAGCTAATCTATGAGAACAAATGAATTTAGGCAGCGTAAGTCAGTTTTATTATTCAGGAGGTGGATCCCTTTTAGAGTAAGTACAAGAAGTATTTATAGACGCGAAGCTATAGTAGTCTAAGGAGATAAAACCAATACATTTAATATAGTTAATTATGATAGAACTCTTGTAACGTCTCCAATTATTCCAGAATCATTACTCCCTTAGGTCCACGTCTTTTCCGTTAGTTTCATGCTGCTGGCAAATAGCTGTACACCATTGATAGCCTGCCACGTAAGGCCTAGGATAAGTCTGACATTGCTAGGATCCAGCTCAGGCTCGAGGTATGTTTTCCAGACTGGCCTGGTTGTGGGTTCCTCTCGCGGGTCGAGTTCCTTGTTGGGCCCAGTGGCTATCGCTAATTATTTATTCCCGGGTAATGGGATTTGTTTAATTTGTTCTTGGGCCATGACTGTGATCCATGGTATCATCACATAATAATCATCTTCTAAACACAATTCAGTAATTAATCAATTTGTGCGAGATGAGCACCAATGAGTGTACCACGACAATATTATACAAGCATAATATGTGTACTCAAGAGCAAATAATGAGCTCCATAGCAGTTCCATACTCGATTTGACTTTTGTACACATAAAATTCCTTATCTTGAAATGAATGAAGTTTTTTCCTCAATTTCACGCACATGCAAGCGTATTCACATTATGAGAATTAAATATAAAATACACATGTATAGTATTACATATATACTTTTCAGATGCTTCAGCACTTTTGTGTTCATATGCATTTGACATCATGTTCCATTCAGCTAGTATCTCCATACCTCTCTTCGTTCTTAGCACTCAAATCTTAACACTTCATAACTCAAACCCATTGCTCTGTTTTACAAATTGTTGTTCCCGCTCTTACTCCGTCAATGGCGATTTAAAGTCCACCATTAATGTTGATTTGCCGACCACTCTGGTTTTTCGTGCTAAAGTACGGCTAATATCTTTAGTTTCCCAATAGTTTCCTTTGTTGCGAACAAATTTCAGTTTTTGAGAGAGGAGAAGTTTCTTTTCGTTTTTGAAATTATTTATTCTTGCCATTCAA